GATGCATTTCAGAAAGCACATGGTATGCCTCTCTCTGGCTTTCATATGGTGCAACTTTTGCCTTTGATATACAGGGAGGTCCCCCAGCCCCCTGATGTGGAAATCACTACCTGACCCTGCCTTCTGAAGAAGGCCATGGCTATTTCTACTAAAAAGTCACTTTCTAAAGTGTGTGTGTCGGGGGGAGGGGGAGGCGGGCAGAAAGCTCATTTACCAATTTCTTAATTATATTTGGATATAAAAATATGACTCAACATTGCCTGTTCAATAGGTCAGACGTACACAAATACCTTGAGACAGGGAAACTTCTGACTTACAACAGGGTTGCCATTCAACCAAGAGATGATAGTTACCAATCATGGCTTCAATTGGATTTCAACCATTTTATCTCCCTGGAAAACGTCAAGATCCTTAAACATACCTAAAGCAAAAATATAATGTAAATCACACTTTTTGGTCTTCTAACATTTGGTCAATCCCTCCAGAGATGCTCTGAATCTAATATAATTATTTGTTAAAAGGTACCTATGAACTAAGCTGAATAAACTTGCACCAGGGAGGTGGAGTCAAATGGAGGAAGAACCCTATCAAGACTTAATCTAAGGGAATGGTAATCTCAGTAAAGGGGAAAGAAAGCTATTGTCCCCTTATCAGGAGAGACTACACTGCATACTTTCTGTTGATACTATATTGCATTTATGTCTTTTGAAAGCAAATCTATTTAAAAAGTAAAAGACATTACTTTATGGGTTATGTAGAATTTCCAAAATAAATAAAAAATCTGTTACAATACATAAAATAAGGTGACGTTATAAAAACATATCCCTGGAAAGAACTAACCTGAACACACTGGTAACAATCAAGAAATCCACCCAGACAAGCTGCTATTTGACACCACAGGGCTGGTCAGAGTACTAAAGTACGATTCAAGACACTTACAAAAGAAAGACTATTTAAATATAATAACAAAAACAAAACAAACTTTAACATCCTACCTTCCCAGGTCAAAGGACATAGAGGATTCAGAAATTAATTAAACCTAGTAAATAATGTAAAACAGGGAAGGACTCCCTTTCAAAAATGCTTCGGTTAATTTTAGCATCCTTCTGTTTAGCTGCTTAGCAACCCTTATCCTATGACCTTCTAAGCACCACCTACTTTTCAGAAGGATAATGAATAGAAACATCAAAAGAATTCACTTCTGTTTCCAGAGAGCATGCTTAACCAATTTTTGTAGGAGTTAAATTTACATTAATTATCCCATGTAAAACCCTAAAAGGGTAGAATCTTTTTTTTTTTTTTTTTTTTTGGCTTCCTTAACTAGGAAATTTCCTTAGCTAAAAGTGATAAATGATGTTGACAAGTGAGCATAGGATAACAAGCAAAAAAGACTTCCAAACTGGCCTCGGAAGTGGAACAGCAGTTCAAAATTGAATAGTAAAAATGGAAGCCACATAAGGGAAGCTGCATTGTGCAGTGCCTGGCATACGGCAGGTAACCAATAAACAGCTGTTGAGCAAATGCAGGACTAATAAGGTTAGGCTTATTTTAGTCCTTCAACATGCTTCAATGCTGTACCTGTGATGGATGCAACCAAGACTTCAGGAGTCGGCCTGAAGACATTTAAAGTAAAAGACCCTTCAATCAAAAGGTCACTTGTTAGATGATATAACTAGTTAGGAATGGATGCACCACCTGTACAGCTGAGTGAGACTTACGTTCCCCTTCACATAACAAACACTTGTCTGCCATAGAGCTTAGAGTCTGAATTTCTGGTGAAAAATAAAGTAGTTATCTAGAAAAACCCAGAGGATGACGTTCCATTTGAAGGTAAGCATCAGCAGTACTTCTTAAGAGTATCACACAATCAGCAAGTCCTTTTTAAAAACAAAGCATCCTAAAATGCTACCGGTTTAGCAGTATTTTTAAGAATAAGACAATGCAAATTAATTATCTTAAATGAAGCACAAACTAAACAACTAAATCAAAGAGTTCTTTTCTCCCTTTCTTTTGTAAAGGGGGGGAAGGTATTTTTTTAAAACACATTTAAAACTTGATTAAAGCTGTTCAAATGTTTAATTCATCAGTGTAACCAAAGCTCAAAGCACATCAAAGCAGGACCCATCAGCGGGTACCCAGAACGCTCCCTCCAAACGGTGGAGGGAAGGAAAAAAAAGCCCGAAAATTAGTGGTCCACCTTTGTATAAATTACTTGAAGAGTATTTCGAATCCATTCCTTCAAAAGTTCTGTGGACTCTTGAAGGTAGCACAGTTGTTGCACAATGGTGGCACAATGCTGTATGTGTGTGTGTTTTTTTCCCCCAAAGAGGTTTAATCAAGACTTTAGCCTCAAACTCAAGACTTCCGGGTTAAAATATGTCTTAGAAACCATACCTGCCTACTTGAAAAAGCACCAAATCTGGAGGATGCTTTTCACGGGGGTGAAAACAAAAACCCACATTCCTGTCTTTGCAGTTGTCCTCCTCAACCTTCCGCTTCCATTAAACTTGAAATTATTTTTTTCAACTGTAAAGCACAGATTGTAACAAACATTTTAAAGAATAAACTCATGCACAAGCAGAGACCATCGCATATCTAACATTAAAAAAAATCTCAAAAATATTAGAATGCACTAGCAATTCTGCCTTTGCACAAATCATTTCAAGTCTCCTCAAGACAGAAATTCCTCGCTATTTCCAGCATCCCTATCCAACAGGCAAACTTTATTTCCATTAGCTTTTAAAGGGCTAAGCTTAAATCTAAATTCTAAAACGAGAACGAGGGTTCATTTTTCTACCAAAGAAAAACCCCGACAAGTTTTTCAACATACCAAAAAGTTATGCTTCTTATTCGCCCTCCTATCTCTTTCCACAACCAGCAGCAGCAGCAGCAGCAGCATCCTCAAAAGAAGAAAACCCCTCCAAAGTGCCCCGAATGTGTGCTGCTGCTAGCTCTGAAGCCGTGTAGAATTTCGTAATGGAATGCGAACTGCTCGTCCGGATCTGGGCTCACGTTCTATCTCCTAACCAGTAAGGAGCGAGGGAGGGCAAATCTGCTGAGCAAGGAGAAATACTTTCCTCCTCTTTTATAACCCATCACCGATGCACCGCGGACGAGGGACGAGAGTTGCACGCGGCGCCTGTCAAGCGGCCCGCCGACCGGCCCGTCCTGTGCCCCGCGGGGTCCCGGCGCCCCCAGACCCCTGCCCCCCCCGGGAAGTGGGCTCGGCAGAAGCGCCCAGCACTCACGCGCGGCCGGGGAGCGGGTCACATCCTCGACGCGCCCTTGGCCGGGTCCA